ATATATATAAATCATCTTATCATAAAGATATATCAAAGAAATTATAGAAAATTTAATTTAATTTTCTAACTCGACTTATTTGAGAATCTATCGACCATCCTATAATTAACAATAATAATTAACAAATAAATTAATCATTAGATTATTCGTCATTATGATATTATAATATTTGTTTAAAAATCGTATTACGTGTCCAAATTTTCAACTAGAAATCAACTAGAATCAAAATTAGAATTATGGGACAAACTGTATAAACCATCAGTCTTATGAAAACGCAACACACGCTTATTAACAATTGAACAATGGATTTTAAATACTGATCCCGTAATAAAAGGATTTTCCTTTGAACCACAGACAAAAAAGCGTTCGAGTTTCTATCGGATCTAATAACTTTGTAAGGAAATAGATGAACGAATAGAAAGAATACTATGTGCTCTATTTTAAATTTATCAATAAATAGTACAATGTTCTAATCTTAATCGAAAACTATGCGGAACATCTTTGTCGTTTGAGTCATAATTCTCTAGTAATTTCTTATAGTAAAAGCCCCAATGAAATTGACGCATTTTTCATACATATTTTTGAATTCTTTCTCTCGTATAGAATTAAAATTTTTCATTAAATTAAATTAGTACGTTATGTTATTAAATTAATATGTTGGCTGTTGTGGAATTTATTCATAATTTTTTAATGTTGTTTAAAAATCTTAGATTGTATTTAATTAAATATTGAAAAAATCTTATCTTCCAAAATACAAAAAAAAAAAATAGTATTTTAATTTTATTATTTTTTTATTATTTATTTATTATTATTAGTATTTTGTATTATGAAATATTAATATAAGAAATATAAAATTCCTTCAACAGTCAACATGTTAAAAATTCTTGGCAGTATCTAACAAACATGACTACCGTATTCACCCTCTTTTAATGCAGTTTATCTATATGCATGTGTAACGGACGGTCAATAAAGGTAGATCAATTTTGTTTCTTCCACGAATCCAAACGATCTACAATATCGTTTGCACTTTTAATTATTAATAGCATAAATAATTGAATAATATTGTAGAATAAAAGTAGTAGAGTTTTTTTTACTCTTCCTCCTTCAACGTCTTATAAACTCCTTTACTTAAAAACAATTCAGAAAAAAAAAAAATAAAAGTATGATATTTTTAAACAATATCATATATATTACAATCAACTTTAATCACAAATGTTTGCAAACGTTGAAAGAAGAATATTTTCATCGTTTTTTCGTTCACCTAATCTTAAACAATGATTATCGCCAATATACAGAGTATTTAATCTCCTCCTTCTTTCACACCTCTCTCATTGTCAGAAGACACTTAATACTGAAACCATTCGGAAGCAACGAGATCCATATTTATAATCTATCATATTATAACCGAATATAATCTCTGATAAACCGATACGCATATATATGCGTGAAATCAATTTAACACTGCGCTGTATTATCGTCATCTTGCTGATCACTGGTTTCTGCCGCGGAGGGTATAGTTGCGAGGAGTCTGGCAGCTAATCTACTTGGCGATCCAGGCGGTTCAGGCTCTTGAATTGCGAGCTGACGTGTGAGCCTTGGTTTCGACCTGGCTGGTCTCGGTGTATTTCTGGCAGTTACCTCAAGGGACGCGCTAGACCTCGAAATCCTCCAAGTACTAGTGCTAGCAGTGGTGGCGGAACCGGAAGAATCATTTCTGGAAGAGCTGAGATTCGAATCTTGAGACGGTTTTCTAGTGATCAGCCACGAAGAAGCTCTCCGTTTAGGATCTAACAATCTTAATGGGATACCGCAATGATGAGTCTGTCTCCAGGAATCTGATCTGGACGAGGAGAAATTTTCACTCGAGGATACCGATGAGGCTCGTTTGTGTTGTTTCTGTTGGATCTCCGCGATTTGATATGCGTATTGATCGCTACGCGCGTGCCTGGGCCTCGTGTCTCTGGCGCAGGGCCACAATATCCTGGTGCCCCATCGTCGGTAACCGGAACATTGGCTAGTCTCGAGTAATCTTGAATTACATGCACAGGGTGTCTGATTCTCTCGCGACGATCTGTCCACCAAACTGTTCGTGTTTACCGGGGTCTGTCTGTTGCTGAAATTCGAGCTATGCCGGCATCTGCCGATCCCCCTGGTCACCCTGGACTCCTCGATCGCCTTGCAAATAAGTACGCAATCTTTTTTAAACTGCTTGGTCAAGATGGCGTACAGAAATGGATTGCAGCAGGAGTTTAATGGCAGTACGAACACGGCAAACACTTTTGCCTGTTCAAGCGATACCAGCTGCAATCCAAACGTGGCAGTCAGCGAGAAGAACGCTATGGGGGACCAGCAGAGGAAATCGGTGAACACCAGCAGAGCCATCCGCTTGGCGATTCGCGAATCATTCGAATTCCACGCTTGGGACCCTCTAATCGCGCAGTACATCTTCAGATAGCATCCCATTAATATAAGAAATGCGACACCGTTGATCAACATCAAAAAGATCACGTATGCTAGCGCAGCGTTCCCGTTAGTCTCGAATGGTAGGCATATAGCAAATTTTCTATAATCTGATACACCGATCAGAGGCAGACTTGCCATAGACAATGCGAAACACCAGCCTACGGTCATTATGTAACCTGCATGCTTAAGGGAAAGTCTTTTGTTCAGATGCATGGCATGCGTTATGGCGTAGTTCCGTTCTAAAGTAATTACTGCTAACGTATATACGCTCAACTCCGAACTGAGAACGCCTAGAAAACCGGCTAACTGACAACCAGCCGAAGTTTGCCACGGTATGGCGTACATTCGGAATTCTCCTAGAGTCGAAGCGTCCACCACTGCTAGTAGACCTGAAATTAACAAAAGTGTTATTTGAAGCCATAAATTTGGATATGATGATTTTAAATACGTAGAAAATGATTCTATACCATAGAATGGTATTTTTGCATCTTGCATAGATATTTTTTTTTTTTATGCCTGACCTAAATAAATGCCCATGAAAAAATCTGCTGCAGCAAGGTTGCAAACAAGAAACCGAGGAACATCCATCTTGCTTCTGGAGAATATTAACACGAATACTACGGTTCCATTTCCAAGCATGGCAAGTAGAAATACTACCCATACACCACAACGTAATGTCCACCAATCGAATAGATCTTGGCACGGTAGAAAAGGACCTGGAAATCATACACATGTTTTAAGGTTTTTTTTTCATATTGTGCATTGAAAGAAGAAGAAGAAGAAGAAGAAGAAGAATATTCATGTTGAAATTACCAGGTTGAGGTAGGCACTGTACGTGAGAAGGTAGTGTTTGAACTGGCAGTGTAACTCGGTTGTTCTGCTCTTCAAAATAATCCTCAACATATGAGGGCAGGTTACCAGGGTATGTAAAATCTGAACCAAAGTTAGCCCAAAGTTCATTTATTTGCGAGCCAAATTTGTCGGTCATGTTATCTAAAACACGTCATCACTTCAGTGCTGCAAAGTCTTTTTTTCTTCTCATTTGAACGAATCGATGATTGAAGAAAAATAATTGAATGATTTTTCTAATGGAACATTTTTCTAATAGAAAAATGTGTGTTTTTTGTGAACTTGTGCTTCTCTTAACAATTATAGGAAATCTCTAACATGGCAGATTTAAAATGGGGAGTACTATATCTTTTCTTTGAAAAGAATTTTAAATTGTTTTAAATTATAATAAAATATATATATAAAAAAATATTTTATTACTAAGTAATTATCAATTCTTTTACTTTCTAAACTTCAATGATACTTTTTGTTATTATTTTTGACTTTTTATCAATGTTATTAATTATAAAATTAATTTTAAATTTGCCATGAATGATTATTGAAATATCATATGATTGTTACTAAATGAAATTATTTATTTTTAATTTTTTGAGATAACAAATGTTAGAAATTTCGAACGTTGAAATTTACTTGTATATAAATATAAATTGATAATATTCTAAAAATTTATTATTAATTTATATTTTCTCTTAAATCCTGAATAAGTAGATTTATGTGCTTTGCAGCATTTCAGTGTCGATTGATTCATCAACGAGTTGTAACAAGTTGAATTTTAAATAAAACAAAATTATTTTTAAATTACAATCTTTTACAAAACAATACAAAACAATACAAATCAATCGTTCTTGCTAAGATATTTTAAAAGAATAAAAATTTTGAAAACTTTACTGTTATTTTTTTTATTTATGATGTAATTAATAAATTATTTTGTATAATTAATAAATTATATTGTTTAGACTATAGTAATAGAATAATTAATAATTCTTTTCTTTTTTTTCAATCAAATGATTAAAATTTTATAGATTACTACCATATACCAATATTTGCACAATTGCTATTACAATAATTAATTTGATATTACTTTCAATAATTTAAAACAATAATTGGAATAAATAAGAAAATATATAAAAATAAATATATTCATTTTTAGAATTTCGAATAGTATAATATATAATATAATAATATAATATATATAACTTTGAGAATGCATGAAAGCTCTAAAATTTTATCGAACTACTTACTGAGCTGTGGCCAGATATCAGTGAAACTCGAGTTCCACAAGCTCATATCAAAATCATTGTCAGTGGGGAATAGGATAGATTCTCGAACGGAGGATTTCGTCACCGGATCCTCCACTTCGACCGATAGAAACGAGCAGCAGTGATAAGCGTACGATAATACCATCGTTTGCACACGTGGAAACCTTTCGGGAGCTGGAAATTCCCTCAATGCTGGATTGTTGAATGTCTTAAGATGTAATAGGCCTGATAGCCCTAGTGTTGGCAGTACGGGAAACACGTTATTCCCAAGATTTCTGAGGAATGAGAAAATGAAAAAAATGTATATATATATAGCTGATCAATGAATATCAATAAAAAGATTGTTATTGAAAATTGTTAGAATTTAGATAGTTTAATCTTAACTTGTAATAATAATAAAACTTAATTCTTTGTAACATTATGATTTTTTAAAGCAAGACTGAGTTTTTTTTTACTAAAACTTACAAATCCTCCAAATGTTTCGTCTCTTTAAATGCGTTAGGGTGGATATACTTGATATAATTGCTCTCTAGATCCCTGAAACATAGAATCCCTTTTTTTCAAAATGATAACGGCTAGCTATCTACACGGGATTAATTGCAAGCGACGACATTTACAACACTTGTAGCCTCGACAAGCCGGTGAACGCGTCACCTGGGATTACTTGCAACTTGTTGTCCGATAGAAGGAGGTCGTGCAACATGTCCAGACCTTTGAATGGCTCATTTGGAAACGACAGAATCATGTTACTGGCCAGATTTCTAGAGAAAAGAAAATTTTCTTTTTAAATATCTTCAATTTCGTGTACACAATTTTATAATTCATATATATTATATGAACTATAATATTTATAATATATGAATATAATATATTATTAATATATTATATATATATATAATATAT